AGAATTAATTAAAAAAGAGAGATAAATTAGAAAGGAAATTGGGACACATAAATTTTTATTTATTTTGACTAGTTTACTAATTTTTCCTTGAAATTATAGATATTAAAATGGATTGAAATAGATATTGGGTTGGGTCAATGACCCACCCAAGTTTATTTTGGGCTAAAATGGGTTGGGCTTAAACATGAGTTTGAGTCTTGATATCATAAAGGGAAAATTGTATATAATGATAAACTAATAAATCAAATTAAATGCTATAACCACACTTTGATTTAATTGTGCCCTTTAGCAAACTGTTTGTCAGTCACCTTTCTCCCTCAAACTCTCGCTCGCCACTCTCCCTCTCTCGCTCCATCTCTCGCTTTTATACAAATGCATACGTATAAAATGTGTTTATATTTGTATAAAGCGAGAAAAATTGTATACATACATATATTTTCGTTTCACTCTCTCCCTTCTCCCAGATCTCACTCTCCACCCTCGCATCTATCGCTTATACAAACAGAAATGAAATGTATAAATTGTGTTTCTGTTTGTATAAAACGAGAGAAATTGTATATACATGTGCAAATACATATATCCACTTATAATTATATAGTATACAAATATTCCTCTGCCCAATTTTCTTTTGTCTTCTCTCTTTCTCATTTTATAGACACATAAATTATACAATCGATTTGTACATAACTGTTTTCTTTTGTATATGTATAGCGAATTATGCAATTGGTTTCTTTGTATATGTAAACGAATTATACAACTGTTTTTTTTTGTATACGTATAGCAAAATATACATATTTATGTTTGTTATGGAGCACAATTATATAAACTTTACTATAACATACAAATATGAATTTTGTGTTTGCTATATGTGAAAGTTGTTCAATCCTAAAAGATATAAAATAGATAGTTATTCATACCTTCAATATAGAAATATACATTACACAACAAATAAAGAGTCTTAAAACGGATTGAAAGTGAAGATTAAATTGGGTTCAATTAAATATTCTCTTAATATGTGTTATGACTTGAATGAATTGAAATTAAACTCAATTCAAATTATTTTAAACACAACCTTTAAAATTATGAACAAATTAAACGAAAATTATCTATAATTGAACTCATATTTTACGCCTCTAATAAAAAATAATTAGAAAAGGTGAAGTGCTTAATGTCAAAGGAGAGGATGAATCTAAGATAAAGATATATATAGTTGGCCCCTAATGTCATGATGATTCTTCCACTAATGAAGCAAAGTAGATATATATTTCAATAATTTATGAGAGCATATATACTGGACCTAGTAGATTAAAGAAATAATTTGATGAAGCCTTTGAATATGCTTTTGGTTTTTAATTTATAAATTAATATTCCAACTAATGATTTTTTTATTTATTTTAATCATTTTAACTTAAATTCAAATGTTTATAATAAGCATTTTTCTTTAATTTATTCGAATACTTCAATAGTTCTTAACAATTTATTTTAACTCAAAACACTTTAAATGAATCAATTCAGACATGCTTTAAATCTTTTAATGAAATATTTAGTCTAGACAAAAAAAAATCTGAATTAGTGGTCGTACCACTTGACCTAAGTGTAAGTGTTAAAGTTAATTAATTTGTAAGTAGTAAAAGAATAGAAAAATTATGTGACCAACAAATTAATATTCTTTATTTATCCGAAATAGTGCATGATAGTTTAAGAAAACCATAGTAAAACGAGAATGTAGGGTTAATTAACATATATATACACACGTTAATACATTTAGGCAAAGAAATTAATATGTATTAAATGTACCAATATAATATATTTCGTTTGTGCACAAATACAAACTATTACTATTATGTTTCATAAATACAAATAAGGCAATGATATTTTTAATAAAAGACAAAATGATAGCGATATACCAAAATTTACCTTATTTTTTGAAATTGATGATTGCAAGAGAGCATTGGGTAGGCAATTTTACATGATGACACTTCAACTATGAAACATTCTAATTTTTGAAGATTTTATTTTTAAAAAAAAATTATACATGAAAGAATTTTGTTTTGACATACAAAATATCTAGGAAATTGCATCATAAAGGAGGTGGTGCACCTTTCTTAATCCGTAACCTCAGTTCATTCGAATTTTAATTATAGAAAATTTTTTAAGAAGGAGCTTTTTTCTTCGAATTTCGAGTAAGACATTAAGAGATATAACTATGTGAACTCTAATTAATCGAGCTCACACCAAATTAAAAACAAAAAAATCGTTTTCCTCTATTTATTTTTGTTATTCGCCATAATTTCCTATTAACTATCCAATCAATCACTATATACAATATATTACTTTTTTTTTATGATAAAGAATCTTTATGTAAAAATTAAAAAAGAAATATGTAAATTTATCTAACTTGAAGGATTAGATCTTAAATAAGTAAAAGATCTTTCTCCCGTTTCCTCCTTTTCCGTCAAACATAACAAACTTAACGGCGACTTAACGGACTTCAACAGATTCTTCGGTTCTTTTTCACTTTTCTCCTCCTTTGACGAACCGGGTTTATTCGATAACAAATTCGGAGTCGATAAAAACTTGAACCGCCCATTTCCCGGTTCGAACCGGTACCCTTTCGATGAACTCCTCTCTAGAGATAAAACTTCACCATTGTTATAAGCTCTACTCAAGCTTAACTCCATCAATCTTTTACGTGCATCCTCCGGTAATTTTAGCGTAAACCTCTCGCAATTTTGACCCGGTTGAATCAACGAATGACCCGTTGAGTGTGATCGATTAAACATACGCGATATATTCGTTCGTCTAGGTGTTGATGATTTTCTTGCAATGCTAATAAAATCAGTAGTTTTCCTTTTTGCATTACTAAAATTCGAAATATTATTAGGCGATGCATTATTTACCTCTCGTGGACCCTGGGGTCCACAATGACTTGTCGTGTGGATATCAATGACAGTGTCAGTAACTGAATTTACATGTTGAGGATTGGTTTGGTTGATTGGTTTGGTTTTGAGATTGGTTCGGCAGACGGGGCAAGTGGTTCGGAAGGCGAGCCAAGCATCGATACATTCGGGGTGAAAAACATGATGACAATTTGGTAAGAGACGGAGAGTTTCTTCCTCTTCGAATTCGTTGAGACAAACCGCGCATTCTAAGATGGATTTGCCTAAATTTAATGATTTGACATCTGAATAGATGAACACTGGAAATGTTTTAATGATCTCAGGATCGAGCCCTCGAGAGATAGGAGAACGATTTCGTAGAAAATGAAAACCTAATGAATGATCGAAGGAATCGGGGCTCATACGACGCATATATATGAAGACACCGGCGAATAGGATTAATACAAGACAAGCAAGTATTACCGCTAACGTTGGGCTAATTTGAACATTTGACGGGTCTATCGAGTGTGTTAACGTTGTTGGAGATATTGATGGTGTGTCTAAGATTGTACCAGCTTCTGCTACTATGCAAAAAAAGCATAAGACGAAATAAAATGTATTCGTCTTACGCTTCATTTTCCTCGAAAAAATAGAGAAATAGTGATGGTTGATGATAATAGGAAAAAAAGGAACTTCAAGTGGAATTGCTTGAGGAAGAGAAAAAGTGAGAGGGAAGAATTTTGAATGTATGATAAGAAAAGGGGAAATATAGATGCATATATACAAAGACAAAATATCATAGGTTATTTTACGTTACTTACAAATTAATATTGTTGAAAGGGAGGACGGGATATGTAATAGGATAACTGAGATTTTTGTAATGTTTGAATCACGAAAAATATTTTATTAGAATTAGTGTCCTAAAAAACTTATATAATATTTATATTTTAAAAATAATCTAATTTCATTATAAATATCGAACAGAGTATAAAAAAGGAATGCCATTGTTTCTTTTTGAAATTTCAGAGTGTGGGGATGAAGAATCTATGACTTGTTATAAATATATTACAAGTAGCCGCCCATGGAAAAATAGATAAAGTTGACTTTGGAGACTAGACACGTTAATATCAAAAATATCTCTAAACTTAATATGTATTATTAATTTTATTTCTAAATTATTGATGGTTTAAAAATATCTTTCTACTTAGCTAATTAAATATAATATACTTTATTAAATGATCTCAAATTTTTGTAGAAGCATAAGATTCTTAACAAAAAACTGAGAGAAGTGTTGAAAACACCATTAAACTTAACGATAATTTATGGAGATATATATATTTTACTCATGTTGCAAGATCATGGGTGTATTTAAATTTTAGTTAGTCATTGATATTTTTAAAGTTGTCAATTGTAAAAGATAAAACTAATTATTAACGCCAAGTTTAGGGATATTTATAATAATTCACTCTAAATATTAAATCTTCCATAAATAATAAATACTATGTTTGGTAATTGATTAGGAGAGAAGTTATCTATGTATACAATTAATATGATGTTTAACTCATACTATAAGGGAATCTACGCAATACTTTGTTTTATGTAAGATAAAAAGTGAAACAATTGATACGTGAATAATTAAGCTTTTTATAATTAATTATTATATAATATAATACATAAATTTTTTCACAATTATATTTCTTTTTAATACTTAATCAAGTGGTGTTACGTAAATTCAAATAATTATATTCTCGTACTTTTAAAATATTTATATAATTCTAATCAACGACGAAACGACCTTCGAGGGTATGAAAAATAAAGCTAAATATTTTGGATATTATAATTCGGATAGTATATGATTGAGGTTAGCAAATTGATATTTTGTTGACAATTATATTAATGGGTTGGGTAAACCTATGATGAACTTGTTTGAAGTTTTTAAAGGACCAAAAAGTCAACATATACATTTTAGGACTAATTTAGTGGTACTCAATGTTGTGTCACCTAATTTTTTAGATAAGAAATTGCTGTTCGACTAGAATTAATTATATGTCTCAATTTACACAACATTATGTTTTAATATTTTCAAAAATAATAATTACTTTTTTATAAAATTAAAAAAATTATTTTTTTCATGATGAAACGATTTATAACTATATAAATATTTAAGATTTATTATAAATTACAATTAAATAATATCACATAAATTAAATCGAACTGTAATCATATATTATCTAGAAAAATAAAGTTCCTAGGAGAAGGTCATAACATTTGACAGATCGTTATTATTAAAATGTGGGTTTGCCTTTTATTTTAAGCCAACCAAATATTGTAGTGCTGCTGTCAATTCCACATATATTTATTTATGTAAAACAAAATTGGAAAATTGAATATAGAAATATTTAATATTGAGATTTATATATAAGAAGAAGTTAAGTGTTTAACAAATCTTGTTTGTTCATCAACTACATGATTTATCTCTTTGTTAAATATGATTAATTTTAATTTGTGTTTGTGTGGTATATTATCATTAAGAATTTACGATATATGATATGAATAAAAGTTAGTGAATATTATTAAGTTAGTGAATATTATTGAACACATAGTTAGTTCAACACAATTTATACAAATAGAGGTTAGACTCTAATTTAATTAATGAATAAACGTCACGTCTCATTAGGAAAAAAAATGCCACGTCTCCCATTCAATAAATATAATGGATATTATATGTAAAAATTCGTGAGATATTAGTTGTTCCAATTTTTTAATTTATTATGAATGAAATTTTAATACATTAATTAGTTTAGGAATTATGTAACTATCTGTCAACTACTCTGTCATCTATCACTAATGACATGTATACTGGAAATATAATACTTAATTTTTTCTTTGGAGATTAATTAGATTTTAATGTTTTTATATTTACTTTTGGTTGAAACTTTGTTATCATCCTATGTTTAATCCAGTTTGTGAGTTGAAGCAATTACAACTTGTATGGTAGATCAATAATATTCGTGAGAATTGAGATTGTGTTAAATCACACTCATAAGAAAGGTTTTCGAATAAATTTTAAATATATGAAAAATTAATTAATTATAAATAAAATCTGAAGAAACAAGAAATTTATTGATAAAACAATATGGAATAGTGCGGGTACAAATTTTTTCCTGCCTTAACTCTTAAGATTTTTCTGTGATTCAAGGACTATATACATATGTATATATATATATATATATATATATAATATGACGTTATTTTTGAAATAGGATAATATGAACCTCCTTGAGATTCAATTTGATCTCAATTGATCTTTGTGAATATTTCATGACCTTGCAAAATATTCGAGATTTCGATCTTTATTAGTATGAGCTTATGAAAATTCGAGACTTCTTTGAAAAAGACAATATTTGTTGTCTTCATGATATCTTTGTGAATATCCAAGAATTTATCAGATATCCGAGATGCATTTTTAATTGAATATATTACCTTTATATAGGCAAGAATTAAGATTTAGGATAGAATAGTCTCAAAAACCCTAATTGAAATAAAACATATTTTGTAGATTACTATAAAATTTCGATGTCTATAAAAAGATCAATTATTACGTAGAAACTCATGAACAACCCCAATCCCAATAAATATATATATTTCAAATAAGTTGATACCTAAAATGGAGTATGGTGAGCATTGACGAAGTCACGAGGGGTTCAATTCTTAGTCACAAAATTATACCGTATAAATAGGATAAATATATTATTATTATTTTTAATTTGATCTATATCTATTACTAAGCATAGTGGAAATCCTAATTTAGTTGCAAAGGGGTTTAAAAATTGCTCTATATGACATTTTAGTAGGTTTTTTTTTAATTATGAAATATGAATTTCTAGCTCCGCCTTAAAATGGCTATTTGTGAAGATTATAATACCTTTCAACTTGAAGCTTAGACTCTTTCTACAGGATTATAATATAATACTATAATGAACTGTGCTTTAAAATATTTTTTATCAACTCAATGAATTTTCTAAAATTTATAATCCATTCTCTAGGGTTGAATAAAAGGTCAAACAATTGAGTGAATATTTCATTTGATACTACTAATTATTTTAATGATTATTAGCTAATTTTTATTCCACATCGTAATCAATTGAGTTTAAAGTGATGTTCAATCACAATCACATGGATCTCTAAGATCAAAATTGACCCTCAATTGAATAAACAAATTAAAGTTGAGAATGGGACTAAAGTAAAATTTAGGGTCGATTTAATCAAGTAATAAAAGCACATCAAATTTTTTAATACTATATAGTTAAAAGTACAATAGTTAAAAAAGAGAGAAGTAATTAGAGTCTTTTCAAAAAGAATATTTGTCTCTTATGAAAGAAGTCACAAGTTTAAATAAGAAGGACAAACACCGTCAGAAAGAGTACTGCTTGTTACTAGAGATTCAATTTATGATGATTATCAGATTAAATGTTTTAAATTTCGATCAATATCATCTTAGGTCTCGTCTACTCATTATATAACAAGTTTGCATTTCAATATTTGAGTGCAAAATTAGAAGATCAACTAGTTGATTTTTGTATATTGAGAAAATGACACCAATTGTATCATATACAAAGAGTGTTTCTTTTTTCATTATTATCATATTATTAATGTCTCCATCTCTAGTTTTCTTCAAACACTTGATCTTCAAAAATGTTTTTTCTTGAGATATATATAACACAACTAAAAGTAGTGGGATTGTGTTAGTCACTAATTCACTACTAACGTGAACAAAGACACGTTGTGCTGGTCAAATAGGACCATGTGAATGAAATCATCACATTTTTTTTTGGAGCAATATATGTATACTTTTATCTATTGTTATACAGTATATATACAACTTAAAACGCGTTTGTACGTATATATACATTGTATGGGTAATGTGTATGTTATGAATAACCATATATAAAATGTATAAACAATGTATACGTAATTTAAAACACACAATCAAAGATGAACGAGGTCGTCTTTTCATCAATTATCAATTTCTTGTAGCAGTTTGAACGAGTTACAGCTATCAACAATCTATATTTCTAAAGTTGATTTATATATCTAAAATTACCTGAAGCAACAAAAACTCCATAATAATGAGCCTTCGTAATTTTCACCCTCTATATTCATCAAAATCTAATTAATCAAGCTTCAATCGAACTCACATGACTTCATAATAGTAACTCTACTCATGATCTAGAAGTTGCTTTTACGTCCATTATTTTTTTGGTTTTCTTGCAAAGAAGTGTTGATAATTCATTAGAATATGTACTTTCAATATTCAATAAAATATATGTATCCTTGATATTCTATTTGACAAAAGTTTAGAGAATTAAAAGGCATAACTTAATCGATTCTGAGACTAAGTTTATGTCATGTGAATTTTTGTTGCCTTGTATCATACGATCTTTTGTTTTGTTTTTCTAGTGTCAAAGTATATGTTAACACTTTTTTTTATATAACTTAAAGTGTTGTGAGTAAAAAATTAATTAAACACCACTAATTTAAGAAACAAAATTAAAGACCCCTTGTAAATTCTTGTTTTAGATGGCCAATTGATAAAGGTCCAGTTGCTTTTTGGGCTTATGTTTACAAGGCCTAGCCAAGAGCCCACATGCTCTTGTACTGCAGCTATTGTCCGTCACTAAAAAGTCGTTTGACGTGAGATATATATAAAGTATAAGATAGAAATAAAACGTATGGTTATTTTATCTTGCTTTTCGTCTGTGCATTTAGTGGAAGTTGATGATGTTTCAAATAAATCACAGAATGTTTCAGTGATCATATAGTAAATGATAAATTATTTCTTGATTTTTCAAACTGAATTACAAGTTAAAAGTACGGAGAAAGTACTTGCCAATTTTAGCACATAAAGAGAAAAATATTTTTTTTCTTCGTCTTCTATCCTTCACATAAATTATGTATTCTTCAAATTTTATATTTTCAAAGAAATCAAAGAATGTTTCAGTGATCATATTGTAAATGATAAATTATTTCTTAATTTTTCAAATTGAACAAGTTAAAAAGTAAACGAAGGGAATACTTACCAATTTTAGCACATAAAAAGAAAACCGTTTTCTTTTTCACATTTTATCCTTCACATAAATTATGTATTCATCAAATTGTATATTTTTCAAGACTTAAAACTAAATATCATCATAAAATACTCGTATCAAACATTATTTCTTAACAGAAGTGCAAACTCGAAACAAAGTAGTAATAGTATAAATTAAGAATTATAGTTAAATTCCCATAATCTTAAAGAAATAAATACAATTTTCTGCCTCTAACCATGCTTTGCGCTAATAAAACATGCTACTAGTATTTAATTAAATTGCCTAAAATAGGGGTAATTTTGGTGCTTTGTTAGATGATGAGTTGTAATTACAAGGACATGTTTAATATAATACTAATTCAAGATTTAATTGACAAAGACAAGGGGAGAAACATAATGAAAATAGGGTTTAGTGTTCACACCTCTAATGACAAAACCTAAGTTTATATTAATTGTAATTAATAGCTCTATTGATAGAATTCTCAAATCAAAATTAAATTTGATTAGAACAAAGATATATAATAAGGGCAAAAAGATTGTTTAGATGTTAATCCTTTGGACCTTACTGAGTCTCAAGAGTCATTTTTGCTTCTCAAATTCTTTTAATAATCATAGATGGTGTCTGAGTTAATTTGTATTGATTTTAATTAATTTTACGTTATATTTACTATAAGTAAAACGAGCTAACTAGTTCGATTACTTGATAACTATATAGAAGTGTAATGAACAAATAGAAGCTAATAGTCCCTTGGGGGACATCTCATAAAATTTGAACGATACAAACAAAAAGTAATATATGTTCAAATATATATAGGTTCTACTTTAAAAAATTTTAATACAAAATTTAACTCTAATTTGTTATAAATAAAATTTAAACGATACAAATAAAAAGTAAGTAATATATGTTTAAATATATATAGATTCTGCTTTAAACAAATTTAAACACAAAATTTAATCTAATTGTCATAATACTTTTTTTTTCACCATCTAATTTGTTATAATACAAACTTTAAAAAAGGATACAAATAAAAAGTAATAATGTTCAAATATATATAGGTTCTACTTTAAACAAATTTAAATACAAAATCTAATATAATTCGTTATAATACAAAATTAAAAAAAGGAAAAAATTGACGAATATATATAGGTTCTACTTTAAATAAATTTAAATACAAAATCTAATATAATTTGTTATAATACAAAATTTAAAAAAGGAAAAAATTGACGGCTGTGGGATTTGAACCCACGCCCTTTCGGACCAGAGCCTAAATCTGGCGCCTTAGACCACTCGGCCAAACCGTCTTATGTACATTATATTGTTTATTTATTTAATATTTATAGACCTCTTTGACCAAGACTTTTAGATATCAAATGAAGGGGGAAAAAAAAACTTTGATTAGTCAATTTAAAGATTTGTTGAGAGTTACATAGGTATTAATATTGCATAGCTTGGTTGTGAGTAAATTATATATTATTGTATGTCGATATTAATTATGTAGAGATAATGTTACCACCTTCTAGATTTGCATAGAATAATACATAGATTTATGAAAACTTATATATGTATTAGATTGCTAAATTGTCAACCAAACATCACATAAATTTTATATACAAATAACTTATTTCATTTTTATCCATCAAACATCATATAAGTTATATAAAAATTAATATATGAATAACTTGTTTCTTATTAAGCTATTAAATAACCAGTTAATTCATAAATATTCCTTATAAATTTGATAATTTGATGATAAAATCATCCAAACAGACGATTCATACCCTCGAAAAACTTAAACTCAAGACCACCTATAAATAAAAATAAAGAAAACTTTACCGCTTCACATAACTTGTTGATGAGTTTTGTTAAAGTGTGTACATATCGCTTAATTTGTCTTGAAAAATCTAAAAGGAATCGTACCTATAGCATTAAAATATTAATAAGAGTTAATTAAGTTGCATTATCTCTATTTATCGTCTTCTTGATAAAGTATTCAATTAAATAAGTCCCTCATCGAATATATTAAACTGATATTTTAATGATACATTCAAAAGTATATGCCTATTGGAATATATAATATTTTGGATTTTTCTTTTTATTATTATGTCATTTATTTTGGAAAAGAAAATGAATCAACATAGCTCAAGAAGAACAAAAACCAAATAAATGTCATATTTGCAAAGCTAATTTATTAATATAATCTAAATGTTAAAAATTAATTAATCCTAGTAATAGTTGATTAATTTTGTTTTCAACTCATGTGTGTACTTGATAATTTCAGGATTACCCGGTGACCTTGTCTGAATTCCATTTTCACTAATTAATTATTAATTGTGGCATTTGTCTTGTGCTCATTTATGTTAGTCTACCTTAGGTCCCACAACAAATTATTGTAAAGAATTTTTAATTGCTTTGATTATCGTATTATATGTTTTTTTACTATTTTCTTTTTCATTATGTTCAGCATGACTACGTACTTTACTATCGTATTGATTTTCATTTTTATGCTTGATTTATTATGTTTTAATTATTTAAGCTAAGTGTCTATTGAACTCTTCACTTTCACAAGGTAAAACTGAGACTGCATTAGCATCATTGAATTACGCTGAATAGGTTGTTGTACGTTGTTATATTATTTGTGTAAAGAATTCTTATAATCCCAAGTTTTATTTGCTTGCTTTGAACTCATATACTACTACAAAAGCCACAAAAGTTTAATGTGCAAATTCAAGAGCTCTCTTAACTTCTCTCTCTTCTCCAATTATTTTCTCTCACTTTCTTGGCCTTTAATTTCTAACATATGTTAGGGAGAAAAAGGTAAATAAAAAAAATTAGAATCATGGCATTACCCTCAAGAACAATATAATGGCTATGTTTGTAAAGAATTTTATGGCTATGAAATGCAAGAAAGTTCCATTCTTGACAACAATTATGAGTACACTTCATCTTGTAATTATTCAATGATGCAAAATCAAGTGAAATTAGGAGATTGCAATATTATTGAGGAGGATAGTAATAATATGCTATTTTTGAAGAGTTCATCACCAAATTCAAATTCTTTAAGATGTTGCACGAAGAAAAGGAAAATAAAGATGAAAGAATGATACATATAGCTATGAAGCGAAATCAACGAAAACAAATGAATAATTATCTTACTCTCCTTCAATCTTTGATCTCATCTTCACATGTTCAAAGGGTTCGTTTTCTTCTTCTCCTTTTTTTTTTAATAAAAGTTATTTCAATCGATCGTCTTATATGAATTTGACCTTTAAAAATAAAAAATGTATATTCAATTACTATTTTTTTAATGAAGTTTCTCTTTGTTTCTTAAAAATAAAATTACACCTATTTTCAAGTTGATTAGAGTAATTACTTGGTCAAATTAAGCTATGTAATTACTAGGAATATCAATTACATTCAAGTCTAATTTGGCCATCAAATTTGAAGTACTAGTAAAATACTAATATTGCTTTGAGTTGGATTTTAAGTTAAACAATATTTTTTTATCTCTAAACACAGTTTCAATTTCAATCTAAAATAACTTCATTTTCTAATTAAATTCAACAAAGACATCATCCAATTCTTTAATAATATTTTCGTATTTCTAGGGATTTATCCTGTTATATAGTTTATTTAGTTATGATGAAATTAATTAAAGAGAAATCTTTATTAATGTCAGGCAGACCAAGCATCAATAATTGGAGGAGCCATAAACTTTGTAAAAGAGCTAGAGCATAATCTCCAAACTCTACGAGCCAAAAAAAATATTAATTTCTCATATCGAAAAAAATAATATATTATTATCGTCATTTTTCACTGATTTCTTCTCCTTCCCAAAATAGTCGAATTGTTCAAGTGAATTAAGTAGAGGGTCATGTCAACCTCAAATACTCACAAAGAGAAGACCAAAACAACTCATGAACATAGTAGTTGGCCTTCAATGCTTGTGGCTTACAATTCTTCACCTTAATGTCACTACTATTCATAACCAAATTGTTCTTTGCTCCATAAGTGCTAAGGTTTGTTATTATTATTTTTGTATCTCTCCCTATTATATTTTGTACTTATATACTCGCATTCTGTGTTTATATCAAATTAAAATAATGTCATCATGAGAGTCACGATGAAATTAGAATAAGATACATAAGCCTAACTTTTTTAGGTCATTAATCCCACTTTTTATGGACAAATAGTTGTAGTCTTTTTTGAATTTAACTCAACTTTCAAGATTTTTAACACTACAATATTACTCTTACTAGTTAAAGTAAATAACTTATCTTCTTTTCAAATTTATCTAAAAATATATTTGGTGTGATGTCATAGTGTAATTTTTTTTAATACTTACTGGTGTTACAAGTCAAATATCTCTTGTAAATGATATGATTGTCAAAATTTCTCTATTAGGTGCAAAATGCATGAAATGTCCAAATTTTTGATGTTAATATTACTTGTCCCTAACTTTTTATAAAAAAAATTCTTTGCTTTTGATCACTTTAAAAAAAACGAAATTCCATCTTGACATGATAAATAGTAATGTCACCTGTAGAGTATATATATATATATATATATAATTCTTTCTATTTAACTAAATACTAAATTGTTTCTAA